TTTGAGTTCAATAAATATCTCTCTCTAAGTTCACTGTCTAATTGAAATCATCCATAATTTCATTAAGACTTTTACATCCTGGACTGTTCAATCTACGTTATACAGACTATAAATAACTATATATACTATAAATAACTAAATAAATGCTATTGCTAAAAATATAATAGAAAATAATCCAATAAAAAATAAGTAAAATAAGACTAAGTTATCTATTCTATTACAATGTACTATTATTTCTGGATGGCGATAATGGTTGGCATATAGATATATCTCTTAAGGGAGCTAAAAAAAGAGAGAGAGTAATGGCAATGCAGTTTTATTCTTACAGACTACAGATTAGGAATAACAGTTGGTTACAAAGTGCAGGCCGTTTATATCAACAATACATTGTTGACCAGTATTCTAAGATAGAGCAAAATCATTTGAATTACCTTAAACATAACCAATCATCACTTCAAACTGAATTATATCAAGATCTTATGGATGCAATACATAATGAAGGTGGCAACAACAAAATTAGTCATCATATAATTCTTCCATCCTTATTTAGTGGTGGGCCACACCAAATGTATTAGTTATATCAGGATGTAATGGCTATCGTAGGTCATTTCGGAAAGCCTGATCTTTTTGTGACTTTCACATGTAATCCCAAGTGGTCAGAAGTTATCAGAGAATTATTTTCTTATCAAAGCGCTGCTGATAGATCTGATTTAATAACTCGCGTGTTTCATATAAAATTATGAGAGTTATTGAAAGACTTAATTCATAATTAATTGCTTGGTAAAGTTATCGCATATATATACGTGATAGAGTTTCAGAAACATGGTCTACCTCATGCACACATCCTGTTAATATTGGCATCAGATGATAAATTACGATCCACGAAAGATTATGATTCTATTGTTTCCGCTGAGATTCTGAATTCCATAGTGCATCCTTTTGCTTTTGAAACAGTATCAACCATGATGATGCATGGTCCATGTGGTGTAATGAATCCAACCACACCACATATGAAAGATGGCATGTGCAAAAAGCACTATCCTAAGAATTTTCAAGAAAACACACAAGACAGTAACAATGGATATCCTATTTATCGCAGGTGGAATATTGACCATTCCATTGAATTTAAAGACAGAATTCAGTTAGATAACAGATGGGTTGTACCACATAATATTAAGTTAGTAACAAAATATAATGCACATATTAATGTTGAAATTTGTAGTTCTATATTAACAGTTAAATACCTATACAAATATGTCTACAAAGGTCATTATCGGGCAACCATTATTCTTTCTCAATCTGTCAGTAACAATACTTAGCAGACATTAACAGAAGCTGAATCAATTGATAAAATAAAAATGTATATGGATGCAAGGTATGTCGTGGCTTCCGAAAGTATTTGGAGAATTTTTCATTATAGGATGCATGATTGTTTTTCAAAGGTACAGAGACTAGCAGTCCATCTCCCAGAACAGCAATATATTACCTTTCGAGATGAAGAAAATCTGCAAAATATTATAGAATGCAATAATATATATAGGACAACCTTAACTACTTGGTTCCTGGTGAACACGGTTAATGCTACAGCACGTACATATAAATATATCGACTTTTCTCTTCACTATACTTGGGATAAGTCTCTCCGTAAGTAGAAACCCAGAAAAACTGTGATGACTATAATCGGAAGGCTTTATATGGTACAACTATTAGAAGGTGAAAGATACTATATAAGAATATTACTTACCCATATCAAAGGTGCAACAAGCTTTGATGATCTAAAAACAATTAATGGACATATGTGTAGAAGCTTCAAAGAAGCTTGCATTTGCATAGGTCTTTTTTAAGATGATGATGAATGGAATGCATGTTTGCACGAGGCAAGTAAGATACAGACTGGACAACAACTACAATATTTTTTTGCAACGATTCTTCTTTTTTGTCAGCCGATGAGACCTGAAGTACTATGGAGTAATTATAAAAAAGTATTATGTGAAAATATTTTATATCGGAGTTATAAATTAATGCAAAACCAACATGATAATATAATTGATACCATTAAATGTGAAATACTAAATCAATTAGAAGACTATCTATTACTAAACAAAAAATTGCTAAAAGATTTTCCAAATATGTCAATTCCTTCTGAAGAGACACTAAATGTTAATAAGGATTTAGATCAGTTTAGAAAGACGTTCTTATACAATACCTTACTTGCAAGCATTAGATCACATGGAGAAATTGCTTTAGCAGTGACATCTTCTAGAATTATCATACTTTTGATGAGGAATGGTCAAACTGCACATAGTTAATTTAAAATTCCACTAAAACTAAATGAGTCTTTAATGTGCAATATCTCATAAAGAAGCAAAGAGGCCTGTTTAATTAACACCGCAAAACTTTTTATTTGGGATGAAGCCTCAATGATCCATAAGTTTGTATTTGAAACACTCAACTGGACATTTCATAACATCATCAAAATAGATAAGCCATTCGATAAGAAGGTTTTTGTCTTTGGAGAAGATTTTCGCAAGTTCTGCCTGTCATACTACGTGCGTCTCGTGCTGATGTTGTCTCAGCAAGCTTGAGCCAATCATTTTTATAGAAATACCTAAGAGTAATGAAATTGATAATAAACATGAGACTTTGTCAGACTAATGATGCCGATAAGAACCGAAGACAAAGAAATTTTGCTAAATTTCTTTTACAAATTGGAAATGGAAAGTATTCAATTATCCCAAATACAGAAAACAAGATAGAACTTCCTTCGGACATAGTAATACTTAGAGAGCAATTGTCGAATCTTATTGATTTCATTTATCCAAACTTAGTTAAAAATTTTGGCAATATGAATTACATGGTTGGCAAAGCCATTTTAACTCCAAAGAATGACAAAGTTGAAAAAATCTCTGGCCTGATTATGAACCGGCTTCTAGGTGAAGTTTATACATATTACAGTATAGACTCTATAGGTTTAGAGGATGGTAATGTAAAACAGCTCCAATTGTATTCCCTTGAATTTTTAAGATCCCTAAAAATTTGTGGTTTCCCTCCTGGTGAATTAAAGTTAAAAGTAGGAATACTTATTATGCTTTTACGAAACTTAGACCTATCAAAAGGACTTTGTAATGGGACTCGATTAATTTGTTGTAGACTTCTTAGTAAGGTAATTGATGTGAAAATTATGACAGGTTCATATATTGGACAACGCATTTTCATACCTAGAATTACATTAACACCTTTTGATACCAGTTTGCTTTTTACTTTAATGTGACATTAATTTCTCATACAAGTTGCATTTTTTATAACTATTAATAAAGCGCAGGGTCAGACATTAAATCAGGTAGGTCTCTATATGCCACAGCCAGTTTTTTTGCATGGTTAGCTATATGTTACTCTATCAAGAATCACTTTTTACCGATATATTAAAATTCTTATATCAAATAACATAAATAGAAATCAAGATCGACAGACAAAAAATATTGTGTATTACGAAGTTTTTAAATAATCATTGTTATATAGAAATGATAATCCTCTAATATAATCGTAATTAGATTATATTATTATAACAGTTATGATAATATTTCTATAGTTTATATATAAATTCTATTGCTTTGCAACAGGTTAACATTTAGTATTTTATAATAATATATCTTTTTTTTGTCAAAATTGAATTTTTTTTTCTTTTTAAAATTATATTTATATATATATTCTTTTAAAATATTATTTTATATTTTATTATCTTTTTAATTAATTAATTTTTTTTTTCAAAAATTATATTAAAAAGAAACAACTTAAATTAAGATATAAGTTTTAAAAACTTTTTTTTTTTATGATTTTTAGAAAAAAAACAAATGATTTACCTTTTTCAAAAATCAATATAATTATTATTATCAAAATCAATATTGTTTATTTATTTTTTTTTTTTAAGTAGGTAAACATTATCTCTTTATTATCATAAAAATTTTAAAATAATTTTACATTGTGAAAGTG